GGTCTTCAGTAAACAAACCACCAGTAAATAAACCACCAGTAAACAAACCACCAGGTCTTCAGTAAACAAACCACCAGTAAATAAACCACCAGTAAACAAACCACCTGGTCTACAGTAAACAAACCACCTGGTCTGCAGTAAACAAACCACCAGTAAACAAACCACATGGTCTACAGTAAACAAACCACCTGGTCTGCAGTAAACAAACCACCTGATCTTCAGTAAACAAACCACCAGTAAACAAACCACCTGGTCTGCAGTAAGTGAGACATGTATAGCCGGTGTCAGAACAATAACGTGTAAATGTTGTATCCAACTCGTGTGGGTTACGCAGTAACACAACCTCAATATCTGTTGTCGATAAATAAACAAATGGGGGGATTTAGCTAAGGCTAAAGTGAAAGACATTATTATTATTATTATTATTATTATTATTATTATTATTATTATTATTATTATTGAAGACTGCTAATCATTAACACACTATGTATGGCTATAATCTGTGAGTAGTCTTAGCGCGGTGTCCTCGTGTCTTTTATCATTCTGTGTAAAACACCTGGATTTATATTTAATAGGATGGTTTAGGAAAGCTAACATGTAGCAGCTAGCTAACTAGGCTTCGTCAGTATGTTAGTTTATTCTTTAGTCTGATCCTTTCACACATCTTCTAGAGAAGCTATGAGAGGCTACATGTGCATTACCAGCTGTATAAGGTCTGTTAGTCTTCTGTCTCCAACACGTCTGTTTTATCTTTACTTTACCTGATCAGCGAGGGAAAGGCCTCGACACTAATGAATGAAGCGCTGCATTCCACAAACATTCTCTTCTTCTCTTCAGTTTTTTTTTTTTTTTTTGGCGGTTGGCAAACAACTCCAAGGTGCATTACCGCCACCTACTGATGTGGAGTGTGGACTGGATTAACGCTAAAAATAAAAAATAAATAAATAAATAAAATCACCTATATTCTTTCAAACAAATGAGTCTGCTTCAAGTACTGTAATAATTCCGTAGTTAGAATTCCCTCGTAATATTTCTATAATGTCTAACTTTACTTTCTTTTCATTAAGTCTAACCATCAATTAACCATAATTGAATTCTTTAATTTCTCTATTTTTGGCAATGTATTAATACATGTTCTATATCTTCGTCTTCTCCACAGTACTCACATTTTCCTGTATTATGTTTTCCAAAATTAAAAAGTGGTGGAGAAAGTACTCAAACACTCTACTTAAGTAAAAGTACTGATAGACAGACAAGAATGTACTCTAGTAAAAGTAAAAGTACCACATTAACATTTTACTTGAGTAAAAGTAAGTACTTGCTTTTAAAAATACTTAAAGTATTAAAAGTAAAAGTACTTGCTTAATATATTCCATAATGTTCTACAATATCATGAAGTGTGCCTACTGTCTGTATATTTAATACATCAATGGTGCCGTTTTAGTGAACAATGCTGCAGATACTGCATGTTTTTGTGTTTAACCTCTGACACAATTATTATTTTATTGACAATAAATAAATAAATAAATAAATAAATAAATAAATAAATAAATAAATAAAACCCAAAACAAATAAAGCACGAAAAAAAAGTGACATGACATGAATGTAATTTGTAATTCTACAGAAATATAGTGGAGTAGAAAGAACAGATACTTAATGTCAAATGTAGTGGAGTAAAAGTCAAAAGTACCCATGATGAAATCTACTTAAGTAAAGTACAGATACATGAAAAACATAAGTACAGCAAGAAAGTACTTGTGCTTAGTTACATCCTACTCCTGAAAATAAATAATGTTTTGTTTAACCCTGCATGTCCTTATCTAAGCCTTGATATAACTGTTTCCTCCCTTCTGTTTCTTCCAGTACTCCTCATTTCTCCTGTTTTCCGTTGAATTCTATAAAACCGTCTCCTTTTCTTTCTTCCTCCCATTGTTTTTGCCATTTTTCTCTCATTTTTAGCTTCATGATACTTTTAGTTTCTGTTTTACTGAATTTTATTTCTATTTCAACTACATTGTTTTTGGTAGCCTGTTTTGTTATTTTGTCTGCTTTTTCATTTCCTGTTATTCCTATGTGTGCTGCTATCCATAAAAAATTACTACTAATCCCATCATTTTAATGGTATAGTGTTTGTTTTATTTCTATTAATATGTCTGATCTACTTTCTGAACTATTATTTTTTRAACTGAGTAATGAAGAGCTAGAATCTGAACAAATTATTGATCTGAGCGGTTTATTATCCTCAATCCATTGAACAGCTAGTAATATTGTGATCATTTCTCCTGTGTATACTGATAATTTATCACTGATTCTTTTCCCTACTTTCACTTCAAATTCTGGTACAATAAATGCTGCCCCGACTCAATCTTCTGTATCCTTTGATGCATCTGTATATATTTTTACATATCCATAATACTGATTTATATATTCTATACCTAAATTTGAGTTTATATTATTTTTATTTCCTTTTCCCTCCAATAATTTTAAATCTATAGTTGGTTCTTTTAACAACCATGGATGTATGATTGGTGGTGGACTGATATTCATGTTGTTGATTTGAATTTCTGTTGTTTTCTGATTTATGATCCAGCCAAAACTTTTTGTTTCGTTTTTTTCTTTTTCCCAGCATGTTTGTAATATTTCTTGTGTTGATTTTGTTCATGACCTTTTAGATTAACCCGATAATTTATTGCTAACTGTTCTCTTCTGATGTTTAGTGGTGATTCTCCCATCTCTACCAATAATGCTCCTGTGGGTGTTGATTTAAACGCTCCTGTAACTATTCTTAGTGCCTGAAATTGAATATGGTTTAATTTTTCCAAAGATGTATCTGAAGCTGAGTTATATACTATACTTCCATAATCCAATGATGATCTTATTAATCCTGTGTATATGGTCTTCATTGCCTTCCTATCTGCTCCCCAGTCTATTCCTGTTAAACATCTCAGTATATTTAATATTTTTTTACATTTATCAACTACTTTTTGAATATGAAATGCCCATGTTATTTTTTTCATCAAACCATATGCCTAAAAATTTAAACTTTTTCACAAGGCTTTCTCAGGGACCAGGATGTGTGACACAAAAATTTGAATTTTGGAACTGAAATTGAATTATTGAACTGAAAGTGAATGTAGTCAAATTGAAATTTTAATTGACCAAAATACAGTTTCAAAGCAAATTAATTCAGAGACAAAACTTTGAATTCAGTTTCAATTTAGTGAAATATTTTTTTATTTTCAAACCAATGCATTCAATTTCAAATTATTCAGATTGAATCTGAGCTATTCAAATTCAATTCCTACTGGCACAATATTTATCCCACAGTTAGCAGTAAAGGTAGTATTTTGTGAACAGAACATTACTGTAACACTAATGTTTATCTGGCTAAGGCTAACAGAATTTATAAATCATATAAAGTCTCTGTTATTCACCAAAACTGGTCTAGATTACAGGACACATGAATGCTACTACACAAATAAAACAATTATTATATTATACAGGTGGCAATGCAGCCACAAAGGGACATGTGTCTTTTGAGCCAGTCCCAAGCCCGGATAAATGCAGAGGGTTGCGTCAGGAAGGGCATCCGGTATAAAACATTTTTGCCAAATCTAACATGCGAGTCAAGAACATGATCTCAAGTATACCGGATCGGTCGAGGCCCGGGTTAACAACGACCGCCATAGGTGCTGGTGACCGGTGCAGGTGACCAGCATGGCACCAGTGGAAATTGGGCTACTGGTGGTCAGAAAAGAAGAAGAGGAGGAAGACATGTTCGTAGGAAGATAGAGAATAGGAAAGGCAAAAGTCTAAACCTGAGAGTAGGAACTTTGAATGTTGGGACTATGACAGGGAAAGCTAGAGAGTTGGCTGACATGATGCAGAGGAGGAAGGTGGACATATTGTGTGTTCAGGAGACCAGGTGGAAAGGAAGTAAGGCTAGAAGCATGGGAGCAGGGTTCAAGCTGTTCTACCATGGTGTGGATGAGAAGAGAAATGGTGTTGGGATCATCTTAAAGGAAGAGTTGGTCAGGAATGCTCTGGAGGTGAAAAGAGTGTCTGGTAGGCTGATGAGTCTGAAGTTGGAAATTGAAAGTGTGATGTTCAATGTTGTATGTGGTTATATGTGGCCCCACAGGTAGGATATGAGTTGGAAGAGAAGGAGCAATTCTGGAGTGAGTTAGATGGAGTGATGCAGAATATCCCCAGAGGTGAGAAAGAGGTGATTGGGGCAGATTTCAGGGGGCATGTTGGAGAAGGGAACAGAGGTGATGAGGAAGTCATGGGCAAGTTTGGCATCCAGAAGTGAAATGCAGAAGGACAGATGGTGGTAGACTTTGCAAAGAGGATGGAAATGGCTGTAGTGAATACTTTCTTCCAGAAGAGACAGGAACACAGGGTGACATATAAGAGTGGAGGTAGGAGCACACAGGTGGTTTACATCTTGTGTAGATGATACAATCTGAAGGAATTCAGTGATTGCAAGGTTGTGGTAAGTGAGAGTGTTGCTAGATAACAGGATGGTGGTGTGTAGAATAACTCTGAAGGTGAGAAAGGTGAAGAGAACAAAGGCAGAGCCAAAGACAAAGTGGTGGAAGCTGAAAAACGAAGAAAGTTGTGTGGCTTTCAGGAAGGAGTTGAAACGGGCTCTGGGTGGCCAGGAGGTGCTACCAGAAGACTAGATAACTACTGCTCATACTGTCAAGGAGACAGGTAGGAGGGTACTTGGTATTTCTCCAGGAAGGAAAGTAGACAATGAGCCATGGAGGTGAAATAAGGAAGTGCAAGTGTGTGTACAGAGAAAGAGAGCAGCTAAGAAGAAGTGRGACAATGTGAGGACTGAAGAGTCAGCAGGAGTACAGGGAGATACAGCATAAAGTGAAGGTAGAGGTGGCTAAGGCTAAACAAAGGGCATACACAGACCTACTGTATATAATGGGCTGGAGAGTAAGGAGGGAGAGAAGGATTTATACAGGTTAGTGAAGCAGAGAGATGGAGATGGGAAGGATGTCCAACAGGTTAGGGTGATTAAGGATGAGGATGGAACTGTACTGACAGATACAAAAAGTGTGAAAAGTTGATGAATGAAGAAAATGACAGAGAACAAAGAGGAGAGGAAACCATCACTGTGGATCAGGGAGTAGCAAAGATTAGCAAGGATGAAGTRAGGAAGGCCTTGAAAAGGATGAAGAGTGGAAAGGCAGTTGGCCCGGATGATATACCTGTGGAGGTGTAGTGATATAGAAATATACCTAATTCCACACAAATAGTTTCCAGGTGAGAAGTTCCGGTTCTTGAAGTGGGCGTGGTGTATATAGGGGAGCTGCGGCGCTCATTCAGGGATGTGTCGTCTTTGTTCTCCCACTGTGTGGCTTGCGTCTGGACTCTGGCAGCAGAAAGTAACAAATCGCTGGCTGGTGCATGTTGCGCTGATGTTCTGGTGGTAAAACGCCACTGCGCTGCGTTCTCTTCTTCCTCGGTCTGCGAGTGTGTGCATGTTGTGTGGATTAGCAGGTCCCCCACAGTTGAACCATTGCTGTTCTGTCTACATC